GCCAAGAACAGCTGGGTTCAGTTTCGAACCTTCAAAAAGCTACACACTTTTCTCAGGATCGAACCGGCGATCTTTTGATTACTAGGCGAGCACTATAACCACGGGGGTACAATTTAGATGAAACGTGAATAGATTGACATAAATAAGATTATGTTTTACATCCACCCAATCACGAACAATTTGACATAAAGAATGATAATAAATTAGAAGTTGATATCACACTACTAGTAGTACTAGCATAGATAAAACATACTCCCTTAGTAGATTTCTCATCCTTATGGAACAGCTGAAGACAATTTTATTGTTAGTTCATGTACGGTTTATGTAGAGGTCGTGTTTTGTTTACAATTTGTTTCCCGTTATTACAGCCATTTAAAACCTCGTTTAACCAAATAATACGATCTAATCATAAACAATAACTTGCCCCCTAGTTATATAACCAAACAGTAAAGCACAAATCAAGAAATTAACCCTAAAATAATGGAAACAAAGTTTCATCGACACTAGCGCCTTTGTGTCACGTACATGAACTAGACACGAAAAACGTGCTTCAAAATTTACAATGGGATGAGAAGTCTACTTGTGTTGGTTAGGAAGCGCGCACACAGGCGATCGAGAATTGCGCCGATTTTAAAATCTGGGTTTTGCCACAGATTCGTAGGCGAGGCGATTGTTGCCCGAAAATCTGTAACGTACAGATTGTTATCAGTCCGCGCACACGGTCGACTAAAAAATCGGCCAGTCGCTTGTTGTTCTCCACAGGAGTAGTGTGAGATGTGTTGTTTTCTTTGCTAAAAAGGCCACAGCTGTTATAATAAAAACTGAAACTTTCAACAGACATTCTATAGTATTTAAAGAACTTTTTACTGTCATCACGTAAAGTGTATAGTTTATAAAACTGTCGATTTTAAAGTATCTGACTTACTATCGGATGAACCCAATATTTAAGTTGCCGTATTGTTTTCTTTGGTCCAATTAGAATAGCACAAACTCAGGTTAATTCAACAAAGTCTATTTTAGGATATCTTAAACGCACTCCAAAAAAATCAATTTCTCGACTAAAAAATCGCCACGTGTGCGCCTAGACATAAATCAAGGGCGATTTATTTTTGGCCGATTTTTTAATCGGCCGATCGAAAAATCGACCGTGTGCGCTAGGCCTTAGTCTATGGTACTAGGATTGCTTTCATATAAGTGAAAGCCAGCTGAGCCGAGCGATCACGTTTAATGTTTTTTAATAAAGCAATACATTATAATAATGTTATAATGCTACTATTTCATCAGTTTATCCCAGAACTATCAACATCTATAACAAGTTTCAAAAGTAAAGTTGTGAACATAACATACTATACATATCCTTTGTATCGGCATTTTTTCCACGTTTGCTTGGTAATGTCATCTAGTGAACCAACAGATCTAGTTGAACCCTATTAATCGAAATTTTCTCAATCTTGTCGTCGTAGTAAAATATTTTATTTTGTTTATTCAACTGTTAACTATTAACTATTAACTATTAACTGTGTTTTGTAGCGTTTACAGTATTAGTGTAGATATGTAATTTTTGTTAATCTAGTAAGTTAGCTCAAGTGGTTACAGTACTCGCCTAGTAAAAGGTCGCCGGCTCAATCCTGAGAAAAGTGTGTATTTTTTTATGGTTCGAAACTGGACCCAGCTGTCCTTGATTATTGGGTCTTTCAATACATTTTCCTGTCTAATGAAACAGCTGGTCTTAGTCAGTAACAAAGCTACACAAAACCTTACACTCCATTCTACACTCATCCTTCGCTCATATTTGAGCTTAATACGCACATAGGTGGCGTACCCATCTAAAATGAATACACATAATATGAGACGCGTAGGAAGACTTAATTATGTATTCTCTAATAACCGCACAAACACCTCAAATACTATATAAAAAGCTATTGTTGTTTTAGAAAATAAATAGCCTGTTGAAGATCTAAACATTTACACACTTAAACGTTTAATTGTTTTCTTTGGTTTTCACGTTTCATTCCAGTTCCAATCTGGATGCAAATGACGTAGGTTGGACAACAAAGCTTGCTTGAGCTGCTGCATTGTTTTGCTGAGTAGTTCGCCCCCAGCTATACAGCGGCGCGCCGCGGGGCAGCCACGATTACACAGCCATTCCAAACCTGACTTTTTTTCTGTAAGGAAATGTTTTAAAATATGATTTATATTTAAGATTGAAAGGACATCTCTAAGGTATATTTCATCACTAGGGTTTGAAGTGACTCTTTCCTAGTAGAGCCTAGTTTAACAACGAGCCGTTGAATGAGATGTTGAAAAGCTGTTTTTGGATCGTGTAATGGACTATATTTTTGTTCATACTAAACCATTCTTTAAGGATACTAATGCAAAAAACTTAAACTGCAGACATTTCTTACCTTTGTAAAGTATCTCCCTAAATTGCTACAGGTTTTTGCAAAAACTTTTATAAGAACTAGCAGCAATACCTGGGTACAAATTAAAATGTACAATAATGGCTATAATTAAGTTTTTTTCTGTTTCATGGATGTAATCTTGGTACCATTAAATCTATAAATATATGAAATATTCTTTCTCGATGGTAAAACATTATAGACCAACTACTATCACACATTTTCATATATTATTTTGATAGTCATAAAATACCCTAGAATATTCTATGTTGCCCAGGAAAACTCTTAAATAGTGAAAAAATTGAATATTTTCACGAACACTCAAATTTTAGGTCACACTCAGCACGATCTCGAACATGTCAATGAACATATCCATATTTTTAATTAGTACAAAACTAAATTAAATTATGATTAAATAATTAAATGCTGATTAAGGGGCATGTATTTTAGTGCAAACATATTATAAATACATAGGTAGTTGCAAATAATCATATTTTGATACTTTTTTCCTAAGACGTTAGGCACGAGCTCGAGATTGTTTTTCACAGTACTTCAGGCTAGACCTAGGGGTTGTAGAATTATCATATGGATAAAATCCATTGGTGGTTTGGCGGTATTTGAACCCGGGCCCTCAGAGATTGAAGTCCCGCACTCTAACCACTAGACAACCTCGCTCCCCATACTATCTTTGACTTAGTCAATGATACTAGACTATACGATACAATTTTTATAAATTGAGACTTTATCTTCAGCAAAATCAGCGTCAAGCTTCAGAGAATTGAGAGGCAATTTCCTCTACCTTTCTTTTTCCCTAGAATAAAAAGAACTAATTTATTACCATGACGTATAAATTGGAAAACCCAGTTTTCGCTGCAGCATTTAATTTAAATCCACTAGTAAAAGTTGCCTACATCTTTTGGAACTAGTTACAAAATAAATTCTCATTTTTAAAAATATAAACAAACATCCCTTGCAGGAGGTTGAGAAGTTTTGTGGAGAATCTCAGACTTGTCGTGGTTAGACCTCGAAATTTATGTTTTGGAGACCCGGGCTCAAATCTGACGATTCAGAATTTGTTTATACGGTTCAGATCCCAATTTTATGGTTACACCAATTCATCTAGAGAATGAGATATACTTTTACACCTAACCTTTGAGATTAAAATTTCCAATTTCACCCCAAAAATTAGATTTTTTCATTTTGTGTTTTTTTATCAGTGTACCAATAGCTAAAACTACAATCCTAGCTTGCCTAAGTGAACTTGGTATTTTACATTTTCAACGATTGGTCAAGACGTCAGCCATGGCGGGCTGAGACGTTATTACTTGATGAACGCAAGTTATAGCCAGCTTAATCACGAAGACAGCAAGAGCACCCTTGAGAAGGCTGAGATGGATCACTAGAGTATACAGCAATAGAGGCTCGGCAACAGCACACTATGTGATGGTATTAAGCTAATACAACATTACATAACTTGAAAATTGTAATGTGCTTGAAAAGCGTAAACGATGTGATCTGTGACCACAGAAATCTATCTGTCGATAGATTTCGAATAGTGTTTGTTTACTGGGAAGATAATTTATCCGTAGGTGAATGTTTAACAACGGCTTGGTGGTAGTTAAAAGTTCTTATGAACAAAAACATTTGGATTAAGAAAGGCTTGATGATAATTACACTCTCTTATCTTTGTAGAGACAAAAATCAATTAAATTGGTATTTTACTGTTTAAAAATGTATGAATAAGGTAAGGGGTTTTGTTATACACGGTTGCTATGCATAGGTAAGAATTTGGAGCAACCACCCTAAGTTTCAATATTTTGAAAATAAACAATTAAGATTCTTGATAGTATTCCGATGAAAAAAAAAACTGTTTTATTACACAAATGAAATAAATTTATATTGTTTTGCCTATATTTTAAAATATTTGTAATTATAAACGTGAAACATTGTGGTGTTAATAATTCTAATCGCAAGAGCTACTCATCCCAATGAAACATTATTATTATCTTAATGAATGTTATTATTATTGAGATAATAATGACATACATCATACGAATGGCAGCCTCATTGGTTGGGTTTTGGTTCAGCATGAGCCCCAGAAGATACCAAGACTGGTTGCTCGCGAGGAGGTGGCTCACCGTAGCATCAGACGCGGTATCTACTTTCAAAATGTTAGTCTGTAAGTGGGTAGAGAAGGGGTTTTGTTGTGATCAAACCTCTACAACGGTTGTTAATATACCGACCGTTCTGGCCTTCAACAAGCTAAATCCATAAAAAATAATTAAGGACTTAAATGCCCATGGTTTCGTTGCAAACATAAAGAATGTAACATAAAGAAAATTACGTCCACCAACATCTAAACATATTCCATATCTACAATTACAGTGTACAGTAAATTTAGATAGTAAATACATACATTAAGGTAGTATGTGAGTAAAGATTTCGTTTTAATACACGCACCTCTACTATCGAGGCTGATGATGATTGGAGTGCACAATCGAAATCAATCATCAAATACCATCTTGTGTGTATATTTACTTTAACCACAATGACATGCGCCATGCTCATTAGGAAATATGTAAATATTGTGGGATTCGTTACCTTCAAGTGCTTCCCACCGGCGTTTCTCAGTCTCAGACTCCAACGCGTCAAAAACAGCAGCTCCAACAAGAAGGTACGTGAATGTGCAAACTATCAAGGACAAGGTCCGGACGTTTTGCTTCTTCATTCTTTGGGGAGCACCATGTCGGGGCTGGGTTTCGGAGGCCTAGGCTCGGGCCGGGGGCCACCCCCATGCTCCCCGCACCATGCTCACGACCGCACCCTCCCACTACTGCCATCTCCCCCATCACCCATGCCCTGGAACGATACAAGCACAGGTTAGTGGACAGAGGGTAATGGTTGAAACCCCTTTCACTCACCCATGGAAACCTCGAAATTGGCTGATGGAGTCACCCTGAGCCCGAAGACTATACAAACAGACGCCTTCACTACTGTAATATATCCCATCATCCATGCCTTGGAACAACGATACAAGCAGAGGTTAGTGGACACAGGGTAATGGTTGAAACCCCTTTCAGTCACCCATGGAAACCTCGAAATTGGCTGATGGAGTCACCCTGAGCCTGAAGACTATACAAACAGACGCCTCTACTACTGTAATATATCCCACCACCCATGCCCTGGAACAACGATACAAGCACAGGTTAGTGGACAGAGGGTAATGGTGAAAACATTTCAGTCACCCATGGGGGTGAGGTTCATAATGTCCAAATTTCACAAACTCCAACGTCTAAAATATTAAATAAACAGTGCGTTTCATAACCTCCAAACTTCATAAACTCCAAAACTATAACTTTCAAATAAGCACAGTTTCACAATGTCCAAATTTCACAAACTCCAACGTTAATATGTTAAATAAACAGTACGTTTCATAACCTCCAAATTTCATAAACTCCAACTTTCAAATAATCACTGATTCACAATGTCCAAATTTCACAAACTCCAACGTTTAAATATCAAGTAAACAGAGCGGTTCATAACCTCCAAGTTTCATAAGCTCCAACGGTACAGTCTCTGCCAGAAGTCGCTGCAGAGGTTGCCGTGGTTCTGCCTGCTATCTGACTGTGGCAACCACTGTAGAGACTTCTGGCCCAGACTGTACCGTTGGAGGTTATGAAATTTGGACATTATGAACCGCACTGTTTATTTGGTATCTTAACGTTGGAGTTTGTGAAATTTGTACATTGTGAAACAGTGATTATTTGAATGTTATAGATTTGGAGCTTATGAAATTTGGAGGTTATGAACCGCTCTGTTTATTTAATATTTAAACGTTGGAGTTTGTGAAACTTGGACATTGTGAAACAGTGATTATTTTAATGTTATAGATTTGGAGCTTATGAAATTTGGAGGTTATGAACCGCTCTGTTCATTTAATATTTTATTCGTTGGAGTTTGTGAAATTTGGAGTTTATGAAACGCTCCCACTCATGGAAACCTCTTGGATACCTCATGAAATTGGCTGATGGAATCACCCTGAGCCTGAAGACTATTCAAACAGACGCCTCTACTACTGTCATCTACCCCATCACCCATGCCCTGGAACAACGATACAAGCACAGGTTAGTGGACAGAGGGTAATGGTGAAAACATTTCAGTCACCCATGGAAACCTCTTGGATACCTCATGAAATTGGCTGATGGAATCACCCTGAGCCTGAAGACTATTCAAACAGAAGCCTCTACTACTGTCATCTACCCTATCACCCATACCCTGGAACAACGATACAAGCACAAGTTAGTTTAGTGGACACTGGATAATGGTTGAAAAACATTTCAGTCACCCGTGGAAACCTCCTTGGCCGTTGTAATCGCCCTGAAGCAAACACTTCGTGGCATCCTCCTATCACCAAATCCCTAGAACGAATGCGAAATAAGCACATGTCAGCAAATCTGGGCAATAGATGATCGCCTGTAAGATAAAATAACATATATGTGAATTATCCCATTTTACCCAACACCACAAACAAAAAATGATAAAATATGGTTATTATATGCAGTAGGATAAACAATATGGCATATTTCTGAATATCCATGATTTGTTCTAATATATACGCATCAATTATACGCCTCAGTAAAATTAAAACCTATTTTTAACTATAAAATGTTTAACGAGCTACTACGAGGCGACGCAAAAGTTAATCTAATAAGACACAACTTCACATTTTACACATTGTTATGATAAAAGCAATCTGTTAATTTTTATTTTGACAAATTACTGAGCTAGCTTCCTAATGTCCTTGATACTGTGTTGAAATCACAAATTGTGTTTACAATCTCACTAATCTACAACAGGAGCTTACTGTTTGCTTTTGGGGTGGGTAAACATTTGTACCACCAATACAAATACTTGTATACATAGGTTGAGATAAACATAATTTGGATGCTCCGATATATTGGTTTGTAACCTAGCACCGTACTGTAAGACAGACAAATAATAATATGAAAATTTCAAAGTGCATAGCAAAGGGCAAAGAGGCCGTCAATCTCTTTAAAAAATGTGCTGGCACAAACATAATCTCGCCAATCTTGACCCCCTTTACATAAAATACCGAGAATCACTGTTTGATGTAAGAGATTTAAAAGCAAAAAGGGATGTTAAGCGTTTACTTTGAGCTTAAAGTCCGTCCAAATTGGTGTAGTAGATTAAAATAAGGTTTCATACATTTTTAAATACCCAAAGTATGTACGTCCATCACAGTGTCGAAGATGGTAAATATTTGTTTCTTTCCAAACCTCCCCCCCATAGAAGTTCCAAAGTCACCACAACCATGATATAATCCTGTAATTATACGTTGTATTCTGGCAAGTTCAAGCCAGGATTTCAATTTGATGGTGTAAGCCGTGGTATGAAGGTGGGTAAACAGTTGTTTTACCACCTACACACCACAGCTCTATCCCTTATAACGCTGTGAAACAAAAACAGATTATGCGGCTGTATCTTTATGGATATTTTATAGTGATTAGATATTATTTCAAGGTGAACTTCAATCATATACCCTGAGTTTTTACGAAAAAAATACCAAACAAGTGTTCAGCAGGGAAAATATTATTGTTTTATGTTATTGATGTAAGTATATTACATCGTTGGCATAAAAATTGTATCTTAACAAACTCAGGTCATAAATGTCAAGGTTAAGTCTGTAGCATTGTCAATCAAACCGCTCATCCTTTCGAGATATAATATGAATATACCTGTATGTATAGTGGTAAGCTGGGTTGTAATAAGTGGTACTCAATGGGGAGAAGAGGGTAAATATTGGTTGGACTTCCACCTACACAACATTCCTCTGGCGTACAACACTGATAAACATCAAAGGACCAATGGGTTAGGTCTAGATAGACAAAATGTAGCGATTATCGTTTCAAAGCTTCGGAAAGACGTTGCGGGGTAGAAGTGGGTAAATATTTGCTTGAAACTTAAGAGTGTTGTTTTCGAAACATCCCTTCACTGATTAGAACACTGCTAAACAACAAAGGATTAAGTAGTATGTATCTAGATAGATGCTGTATATAGTGATTAACATGTTTTGGAGGTAGTTGTTGGGTTGAAGTGGGTAAATGTCTAAATCTACAGAATTGTTGACACAACTACTCTTAAGAATACTGGTAAGTAGCATCGGATAAGGTTGTTGTTTATGGTATATATGTAGTAATTAAGTAGTTTTAGGTATGTTCGTTGTACTCATGAGTATAAATGGATAAATCTTTGTTAACGCTTTTACTAAAGCGTATATAAATAGGATGCAAACTCTTTCTATCATTTAAATCACTTTATAACAACAAAGTATTAAGTGGACTGGGTCTAGGTAAATATTTTGTGTCCATAAAAGGAGACAAACATTGAGGGAAAGTGGATCAATATTTGGTAACCCTTCACCATCACAATACACAATTTCTTCTGGAACATCACCAAACGACGAATGATTGAGTGGGTGCTAAACATCTAGATAGGGATTAGCTAGTGAAAATATGTGGGTGGTAGGAGCAGAGGAAATGTGGGTCACTATTAATCTAAACTCCAACGACTTTAAGCAATCAGATCATTTACAATTTAAAAAAAATTTATTTTATTGTGTTCTAAGTAGTTCGGATACATGCCAAAATATAAATAAGTGGTTAACAATCAAGGTATAATAATAGGTATAATAATATCCTTTGCATATATATTCCTACAAAGTTGCTCTAATACTCTACAGCACTGCTAGATGTAAAAAAAAACATGTATGTGTGATAGGTGCATATTTTTAGAAAAAGATTTAAAAAATGAACTATGAATGATAATGACAGCCTTGTTATTATACTAAGCTCAGACAAAGTTAAATAAAGTTCTTTAAACGGGATCTTTTATTAATAGCCCAAAGGCCAAGAAGATCTAAGTACAGTTTCAGACATTCAAAAGCCTCTGACTTTTCTCAGGACCAAACCTGCAACCTTTTAATTAGAAAGCGATCACTTTGGACTCAGTTATCAAATAAATAAGTAGGTCAGTGTAAAAAGTCGAGTGGATATATCCTTTTACTCCACGACTTATAACAACAAATTTCTACAATTCTTAAATCACTTCAAAAAATACCAATACATGTAGGTTTTGGGGCTCTATCTCTAACTTTAGTGGTTTAGTCATTCTATCCAATGTTAATGTTATTCAGTTTTAGAATACATATAATAGCTATTTGCTTAACCGTCATAGTGTGTTGATGTAAAATACCGTTTTCCTTTAAACCAACCAAGCTGAAACATGTACAAAAAATAAATAATAATGTTTGCAATAAAGACACATTTTCCAAACAATCAAATGTCTAGAATCACTTACAGAAACCCGTATAATAGTTCTGTCAATGTCCAACGATTGCCTTAGTACTTCAGCAATGAAAGGCAATTTAAAGCTTTGCTAATTAATTGCCCGCATCTGTTATAAACTTCAACTCTGCTAAATAAAGCGGCACTTTCGTCCTGTAATGCATTTTATTGTAAAAATACGGGCTGGAATTTAATGTATGAGACATAGTAACTCTCGTCGATAAAAAATTATCGTGGTTAACACCTAACGTGAACACGATAGCGGTTTTGACATTGGATATTTTTGTTTGATATATTTTTTTATGTAAAGAATAAATCTGAAATGTTAGATTATCGAAGCATAACCTATAGATTTGTATGTTTTGTTACTCTATATGAAGATAACGATATTGATTATCTGAGTTCACGCTTCATCATGTCATTTCCATTCCAGTTGCTTCAAACATTCAGATGTGAAACGTACCCTTCTGTCAATAGCGTTGATTCTAGTTGACT